TGCCTTTCTTCTAGGGTTTCAGGCTACTCTTGAGCATCCTTTAAATTTTCTTAACATGGAGCTAAACCAAATGTTGGATTTCTTCGGCCTTCTTTGTCCACCAGATGTTTTTGAGTTCTCTTGTCCTTCTTTGGACCTCAGCGTTTGCACTGGCATAGATCTTTTTCTTAGCAGCACAGTTGATGTCTCTCGGCCATGCTTGGAAGGCTTTCCTTTTCTTGTCAATTAGCTGTTGGATCTCGATGTCATTTTCATCAAACCAGTCTTGATGTTTCTTGGCTTGGTATCCAGTAGTTTCTTCGCAGGCTTGGATGATGGAGGTCTTCAGTTTGTTCCAATGTTCCTTGACATTTTTGGGTGTACTGTGGGTAGATGGTTCTTGAGTGGGTGTTCATTTTGCGCCTTGTCTTTCTTCCTTGGAGTCTGTGCTTGGGGGCGATCTTGATAGCCATCGTGGATCGGATTTGCCTGTGGTCTGTCCAGCAGTTGTCAGCACCTGTCATGGCTCTTGTGAGAAGCATGTCACAGCGGTCTCTGGCACGTGTGATTATGTAGTCTATGCTTTGACCGGGGGTGCTTCCATGATGTCTTGAGCTTGTTTTTCTGGAGGAAGAGCATGCTGGTGATGACAAGGTTGTGTTCCGCACATTTGGTGAGAAGCAGGATGCCATTCGAGTTGCTGTTTCCAACCCCGTATTTTCCTATGGTCCCTGGCCACAGGTCGAAGTCTCGTTCGACTCTTGCATTAAAGTCTCCCAATAGGATGATTTTGTCCTCCTTAGGTATCTCCGATAGGACGGTGTCCAGCTGACAGTAAAAATTTTCCTTGATGTCTTCGTCACCATCTAGTGTTGGTGCATAGGCACTTATGATGGTTGCCTGTTGGTTTTTGGCAAGTTCAATTCGGAGGGTTGAGAGCATTGATGCCAGTAGGTGCTTTGGTAGATGCTTCACCAGGTCATTTCTGATAGCAAAGCCAATTCCATGCATTCTTTGGTCTTCTTCAGGCAGTCCCTTCCAGAAAAAGATGTAGCCTCCTTTTTCTTCCTTCAGCTGTCCCTCTCCTGCTCTCTGGGTCTCCTGAAGATGTTAAAGTGTCCCAGTTCCCTTGCAATGATGCCAGTTCTGCGTTTGGGGCATACACTGTCAGTGTTGTCCATCAGTGTCCATACGTTCCATGTTCTGAAGTTACTTTTTCTTTTTTGGCCGCAACCCCTTATAAGAGTTATGGCACGTAAATAAATAAACAACATCTATGGCAGTGATTCTCAACCTGGGGGTTGCGACCCCTAGGAGGTCATTAGGCCATTTTTGGGGGTCACAAAGCTGCCTTGGTTGGCCCCGCCCCTCCAAAATGGCTGCTGACCCCCTATGCCAGCTAAAAAGCTTGCACTCCTGGTCAGCTCCTCCTCCTGCTCTTCTCACAGGGCTGTGGGGTGTCAAGAGGAGGAGCTTGGAGGAAAAGGTGTGCACAGGAAGAAGGCTCACCATTTCTATTCTGGTCTGCAGGGCATTGAAGGCTCCCCAGACAGTCTTGATGGCGAGAGCCCCCGCCATGTAATTGGTCTGCACTGCGGCAGGGAGTTCCGCAGTTCCCAGTGGTCACCAAGGGAGAAAACGGATGAAATGTGCCCCAGCCAGCAGCTCAAAGCAAAGGACTGCATGAAGCTTTCTTTCACTTTCCCCTCTCCCTATCTTTGTAACTAATCCCTCAATAAAACACTTAAGTTTTGAAACTTAGAATCCTTTCTGCTTGATACTTTGTGTCCCTTTACTGACTGCAGCTTTTTCTAACTCACCATAAACCTTTTTCTGAGCTCCGGGGAACCGTGAGCTCACTGGGGACGCCTTCCTGGCCTCCCCAGGCACCCGGATTTGCGTTAGCTAAAATCGTGGGTACGGAGGTTTTCCTAATGGCCCCCTTTATCCGCCACAACAACAACATGGCGGATCAGGCCCGTTCAAATTTTATATTCTTCTACATTAACTTCTAAGACTAACTGCTATCTTGGTTTCCTCATTTTGGACTCCTGCACTCGTGGAATAATTGTTTTTGGGTTAATCATTGAATTCGGCCGAGTCACCAGCTGATTGTCAAATTCGCCGGTTTTGCCGCTTGCTCCATTTCGCTCGCTACTGCTTGCTCCAGCATGGTTCCAGCCGCCTGGGATCCACCGCCGCTGCCCGGGGGAAGCCTTGGAAGTAGGGATCGGGCGGGGAGGCCCGATCCCTGGTTGGGAGCGCTAGTTCCACCAAGGACGGGACAGCGGAACGTAGCTCCCCCTTCAGCTCCAGCTCCTGTTCCAAAAATGGACTGATCTTCTAATGGCCAGCCTAAACCATAGGCTGGCCCCTGCATCCAAGCCCCTCTGTTCGGACTTTTGAGACTTCTGGACTTTCTTTCCTTTTATGAAATGAAATGCAAAATAAAATGTTTTCTTATGGATGTGGGTTGGGACGGGTGGTGGGTTGTGATACATGAAATGCCTGTATATGGATGATGCCCGTATTTTATAAATATGAAATATGTATCCCTCAATGAACTCCCCTGTATCTTCCCCTCCTTGACCCCTTACCCCAAAAACCGGCGTGACCAGGAACTGCCTGGGGAAAGAGCCCAAGCCTCTCTTCCCTAAATCACCCATTGATTGGCCCATCCTGCATGGACAATGCTGCTGGCCCCCCAATTTCGTCTTCGGAGCAAGGCCAACGAAGGAAGGTAGGGTCAGCAGAGCCTCGGAACAAGAGACTGATTGATTCACTCAGAAATTGTTGATCCTCCGGGCGGTCCGATTTCGACCCAGCTATTCATATCACTTGCCAGACCCATTAAGGACAGGAAAGCCTTTGTTTGACAAACATCACCTGGGACAATGGCCCGCATTCCAGCGGGCAGGAAATCCCAAATCCCATCATCTCTCCCCCCATTGTCCACGGCTGTCCCGCCTCCTCGCTCCTGATTGGCCAGGACCCAGGAAGCGAGCGGAGGGCGCCCATTGGCCCTCCCGAGGCGGAGCAACACTCCCATTGGCTCCTGACGGGGGAGGGCGGGATTACCTCCTCCCAGCTGTTCCAGCCTCAGCCAATCAGCGTGAAGCCGGCTGACAGGGGGGCGGGCGGGATTTTCAAACTGCTTTTCCTTTGTCTCACATTATAAAAATGCCTGGAAATTCTTGTACTGCATGCTTTGCAGTGGAATGATTCCTGTATCGCATCCGTTCAGCTGAATCGCAAAATAAACGCCTCGGTCGCTGGACTCCTTTCGCCTCTGGTGAGCTTATTGGATTTTA